CATACGCGTAAGCTTACAACTAGCGCGAGCAGATCTTATTATTCATTCCCAGCGCGAGATTGAAGTCTTGTTTTCGACCCTGAAAAACCCACCTTTTTCTTTAGCTCAGAGCATAAAACTACATATAAGCGCCCTGGTTCGTATTCCCTGCCTTATTCCCTCCTATCTCTGTGAAAAATACGCAAGAGAATCTCTCAAGGTCTCTCAACTCTCAACATTTGATCACGCAACGTGACAACATCCACGCGAGAGCGCCCCACATGTGCGTGGATCTGCGCGGATATATGACGTCAGGATGGCGCAATTTGTTCGAAAAATAGAAAAATTGTCCCATATCATAGGTGCGCGCGGATCCCAAGACTTACTGTCTCCGTCCCCGATTATGGCTCCTGTGTAAATTTATTTCGCTGTGCCTCAACAAAACGAAATCCAAAAAGGAGGGTCCATCCACCCCGAGTCCCTCCTTGTACCACGGTGAGGGTATGAGTTAGCTCGTACGTCAGAGAGTTAAACCCTCGTCGCACAAAAGGTATTTAAGTATCGGACTCAAATACCTCGGGACAGTTAATCGTATGCCCTTTCATTATCCAGAACTGATATTTTTGAAGCTTACTAAGGACATGGTTGCACTAGAGCAAATTCAAATATTTCCGATTTTTGGTGAGAAAAAAATTGGCAAAAATTTCGCAAGATCCAAATTTTGGCAGAGGTAGCCTTAGACCAACATATTAAAACCAAAGCGTTACTGATTGAAATATACGTCACAAGATATATATTTCTCAATTAAGTAGTTTATTAGATTCGATTCGAGAGTTTACCTCTTCGCAGATTTTTCTCCACGCCGCATGTTCTTGACTTTCCGCTCTACGGTAACTCATGACTTTCGGCCCATAATTGGACGAGCAGATTTTGTTCAGCTTTCGTTTGTGTTGTTGCTTGCGCCACTTGCGATCGAAGAAGATTGTCTCGCTAAATAAAGGCATCATCTTCAAATTGCTATAAGTAACAAGATCTATGGTATGAGTCATAAAAACTTGAATAAAAACGCCACTCATATTCTTCGTCTGCTTTGAAATAACTGTAAAAAGCATCAGATCGACCGGGTAAAAAATGATTTTGTCCCACCATGGCACGCGCCAAACTGGACTAGCCGTCAAAGTTATTTTCTCGCCGTAATTTTATCCAGACATGTTAAATGGTTGAAAAAAGCAAAATGTTTTGCTTTGCCAAAATTGGAAGCCTCTGAGGCAGCACTTCGGCTTCTTTGAAGATTGGCGAAATTTGGCAATCCGCAAAAATTTGGCAAGTTTTTGAAACTGGGGGTCGCACTTATTTTACGCTACTTGTTGACAGATTTACTATTTATACAAACAAAATTGGCTCTAGTGCGACCCAGGCCTTAGTCAGACACTGCATCGCTTGTATTGTAAGCAAAGATTCCTCTATTGGAATATTCCCAATCAGTCATGTGGAAAGTGATTATCTCGATCGCCAAATGCTTTTATTTTGAGTTACGTCCATGTTTTATGACCATCGGTGGCTTCGGTGATGACCAGTCAGATTGCCTCGCGGACTTACTTCTGGTAGCGGCAAGAGACACCGAAAGAGACAAATCAGCTTCTTTGACATGAGTGGAACACGAGTAACCCTCGGACGTTCTATGGGGGGGGGGGGGGTGGTGAATGACACCCCCCTCCTCCATAAGGTTTTTTTTCAAAGTTTTGAAAAGACGATTTACTCTAAGGGGCTAAACCTTTCAGTAGCAGTTCCTTCATTCTCTGCAGAAATTTTAATGTGTCAGTTGTGTGTACATCATTTTTGACGTTGCCATGGCAACCACCAAAGTTATGTAGGTCTGACCAAAAACAACTATTTTGAGATAATTATGTATTTTTTCAGTTCCCTTCATCAAATTCCAGAAATTCATGAATTTTTCCATTTCATTAGCATTCTAGTTTGATTTCGTGTTAATTTCCGTTAGTTCTTGAATTTTTCAAAAAATAGTGAAATACAAGACGGCGGATCCAAGTTGTCGGGTCAAATGACGTCATTTGGCGTCATATGACGTCATAACCAACAAAAATAGTATCATTTTGTAGAGAAAGCTCAGGGCTATCTAATCAATGTAAATTTATTTTAGCTCTGCCTTAACAGAACGGAAACCAAGAAGGGGGGTATTCCATCCACTCCCCCCTTGTGCCACGGTGGGGGTATGAGTTAGTTTGTGCGTCCGAGGCTTAATCTCGTCAAAGTTCGGATCTGATCGTGAGGCTGTCCCTAGGATGCTCCAACTTTTTTTTAAAAGAGCTGAGTGGGCAGTGATCGGAAACCCTGAAGCTTTCAAAAGCTAAATCCTCCAGTTTCAATTTTTAGGTCGTGATTTCCAAGTAATTTTTCTGTGTTCAGGTTTTTTTATATCGTCTATAGAGACTGAGTATTTCGCTTTATTTTGAAAAGAGCAATAACATTTAAGGTTTTTATTGGCATGCATTAGATTGATTTGGTGCCTTTTTAGATGATCTGTAATAATCATATTTGCCCTTGATAGGAAAGTAGAAGGGCCGTTTAAGTATATTAAGGTCTTTTCAACACCTAAGTTTGAACAAAACGAAACAATTTTTTTGATCAAACCTAGTTTATAATCTTGAAGTTTTTTTCAGAAAGGATTTAAAAAAGTTTAGCAATACCATTAGGGGTTAATTTTCAAGGTGAAAAAAGTGGTAAAAAGAACTAAGGACTAAAGGTAAACAATATAATTGAAGAGATTGCAACTGAGATTACCTAACGCGTAACGTATTAAAACAGGCAGCATTGTTTGTTTCACGGAGGGAAGCCTGTAGCCTTGGCTGCCCAGCAATTGAATTCTGATAACATACTTCTTCTCGTCGTAAAACTGTAGTCGATTCTCTGAGACCCTTCTGATCTTTAAACAGACTATTTTAAAACCGTACGCTTTTAGCTGTAGGTAATCGGAAACGACATTTGACACGGGAGACTACCAAAACATGGCAACAGCAAAAATATATTTAATTCACCATTCGGTTTTAGATTTGTCCTTCCCGCAGACATCAAAGCCGAAAATTATAAATTTGTAGGAAAAATTGCATTTTAATCACGGCCTTTTTTCTTCATTCAACAGGACATTGTATTCCAAATGAGAAATTCTTTGAAACCACAGCTGAACAGAACGCAAGAGGTTGTTCTGTCAGAGAATGCAAACATCGCTTGGAGCAGCGTTTTTGCCCTGGTTGCCATTGTTATTGTAGCGGTTAACGCTCTTACGATTATGGCATTCACAACCATTCTCATCAGCTTGGCCATAGCTGATATGATGGTTGGCGCAGTAGCGATACCACTCTATATCTACCTGACCTTGAAGACTGGTTTGCAAAAAGGTGCCGTGCAAAACTTATTTGAAGCAGTGGACATTCTGTGGGGCCTGGCGTCTGTCTTCACATTGGCAATAATTTCAGATTGTTCGCCATTGGCTGGCCTCTGCTGCACCGCGCCTGACGGAAACGAGCTTATTTTGGTTTTATTGCTCTTGGATGTTTTTCTGCCCTAACAATATCGATGATTAATTTGTTTTATCGTTCCAAAATACTCTCCTACTTTGCCACGCTTGACATTGTTCTCACCGCTTTGTTGACGTCGTCTGTGATAACATGTACTGCATATGTCGCGCTGTGGATAAAAGTTCGCTTTCGAGACCGAAGAGGCTTAAGTCGAGAAGCCGACAGGAGGCTGGCAAAAACGTTATGTCTTGTAACCGGAGCGTTTGTTTTAACGTGGTTGCCTTTTCAGAACCTCCTTTACGTTGTTCACTTTTGCTTAACATTCCCGTTGCCTACGCAAAATGCAGTCAACTTCATTAAGCTCTTGCAGTATTGCAATTCATTCATGAATACTGTTATTTACTCACTGAGAATGCCCGAGTTTCGGAAAGCAATTTCGGAGATCTTTAACTGTAGGTATAGTTCAATTAAGGACGAAATCCCCCTGAAAAATATTCGAGGAGAAACTTTTAACACATTTAGCAGGATCCTGGGTTCATATTCTTCACTGAATGTTCGTCATTGCATGGGAACAGAAAATGTTGTCTCCTAAGGGTTAAATTCTTCAAGTCTTAGGCGAAAGTGTCTTGGTATTAGAGGTTCCAGGACAAGTTCAAGCCGCCGAACCTATGTTGATGTATCAGTGGTTTAAACTTCTTGCCTGGAGTGCACTGTAAAGGTGTCAATGTAAATGACGATTTCACCGGCGGTAATTTCCACTTTGTGGGGGATGTTCATGTGGAAACACGTGCACTAGCACTAAGTCAAGTTCCAATGGAAATTAAGGGAATGGAAAGTTCGCTAAATCACGACAGGAGAATTTTCAGGTTGATAAATGAAGAGTAGTGCAATTTGGTCTGACATCATACGCGTGATTTTAACATCGAACGAGCGCCCAGCACGAGTTCGATTTGAAATCACAAGTATGATTGTAGACCAAAAGTGGAAGACACGAAGTTCAATTCCATTTTTAAATCGCACAATTCCCATAAATACACGAAGTAACAATATTTTATTGATCCCGTTTGTTAAAAAATGGGAAACCGTTAGTTTTCGCCACAAAAGCTGCAAAATTCGTCATGCAATGGCTTTTTTTACTTTTCATTCCCTTGCATTTTGATTGCAATTCTTGCAATTCGGCTAAAATCTTATTGGTTGTTTTGTTTTATTGTTAAATTCTTATAGGCTGGGAAAAATTTAAAGATGCNTATTGCAATTTATTCATGAATACTGTTATTTACTCGCTGAGAATGCCCGGGTTTCGGAAAGCAATTTCGGAGATCTTTAACTGTAGGTATGGTTCAATTAAGGACGAAATCCCCCTGAAAAATATACGAGGAGAAACTGAACACATTTAGCGGAATCCTGGGTTCATATTCTTCACTGAATGTTCGTCTTTGCATAGGAACGGAAAATGTTGTCTCCTCAGGGTTAAATTCTTCAAGTCTTAGGCGAAAGTGTCTTGGTATTAGAGGTTCCAGGACAAGTTCAAGCCGCCGAACCCTATGTTGATGTATCAGTGGTTTAAACTTCTTGCCTGGCCTGCACTGCAAAGGTACCAAATGACGATTTCACCGGCGGTAATTTCCACTTTGCAAGGGACGTTCGTGTGGAAATACGTGCACTAGCACTAAGTCAAGTTCCGATGGAAATTAAGGGAATGCAAAGTTCGCTAAATCACGCCAGGAGAATTTTCAGGTTGATAAATAATGGTAATTGTTTTTCTCCGCACCTATATTATGGAACAGTCTACCGGATTCTGTTAAAAATACAACATCTCTTTCGTCTTTTAAATCTGCCCTCAAAACATTCTTGTTTC